TCGCACTGGTGAGGCGGAACCTGGAGTGCTTTGCTCAGTTCTGGGCCCCTCACTCCAGGAAGGACACTGAGGGGCGGGAGCGTGTCCAGAGAAGGGCAGCGAGGCTGGGGAGGGGGCTGGAGAAAAAGTCTGATGGGGAGCAGCTGAGGGAGCTGGGGCTGGAGAAGAGGAGGCTGAGGGGAGATCTTCTCACTCTCTCCAGCTCCCTGACAGGAGGGTGTAGTGAGGTGGGGGTTGGTCTCTTCTCCCAGGTAACCAGCGATCGGATGAGCGGCAATGGCCTCAAGTTGCATCAGGGGAGGTTTAGGTTGGCTATTAGGAAAAATTTCTTTACTGAAAGAGTGGTCAGACATTGGACCAGGCTGCCCAGGGCGGTGGTGGAGTCCCCATCCCTGGAGGGGTTCAAAAACTGTGTAGCTATTGCACCTTGGGACATGGTTTAGCAGGCACGGTGGTGTTGGGTTGACGGTTGGTCTCCATGATGTTAGAGGTCTTTTCCAACCTTAATGATTCTGTGATTCCTTAGCACCATCAGCCTGGCCTCTGTTGGGTTCCCCAGCAGGCAGGACCCTGTTAAAGTCCTTATTAGACCATTTCTGATTTCTAGTGGGAAAATTCTGTGTGGATCCACCAGAAAAAGAGTTGCTGGTGGCAGAGGTGGTTCAGACTGAGTGATTTAGGAAACTTAAAATCCACCAAGATTAGGAAAAGTCATAGTGGCTGGAGGCAAGGGCCTGGTTCACCCTGCAGAGCAAGAAAGTGTCTTCGTGGGGGGTGGCTCTTCAGCTCAGCAAGCTGCTCCAGCTGCTTTTCCTCCCCTTGCTCCTCGGGAGACTGCCAGGGACTTCAATGTTGGTGCTGAAAAACACCAGATAAGCAGAGGTTTGGGGCTGGTATGAATGCCTGGCTGCTAATTATCAAATTACCTGTCTGTCCAGTGGTAGGAGCACTGCTCATGGCCCAGGACGACATGCCCTGGGGGATGCTCCCTACCGCAGAGCCAGCCAGAGAGATTCTTGAACCCTGGACTTGCTTGGCTGAGCTTTGCTGGGGAGAACGGGCCCCTGGCTGCAGGGGGTCCTGCTCTGGCTCCAGAGATGTCCTCTCCCCTTGGACGTGGGGGCTGCCAGGGACGTGGCCTTGGCAGACCTTTCTGAAGGTGGCAGCTGCTTTGACACCAGTGAAAAGCAGGCTGCGGAGGGCGAAGCAAAGGATGTCTGCGGTGACCGCAGAGGACAGCAGCCAGGAGAGATGCGCCCTAGCTAGAGATGCCTTCTGGCAAGGTGAGACCGATCACAGAGCAGAGGAAGATGAGGACGAGTCAGCTAATGGGGACTGTCCCCATCAGCCTGGCAGCAAGGGGTCTGCCTTCCTCCCAGCGCACGCTCGCAGAGAAACTCCTGATCGTGGGGGGCTCGAGGCCCCATCTTCAGCTGTGATTCTGCACGGAGCCTTGGGGAGTTTTGGTGGTGAATGTAGCGATGGCGGCTGTTTGGATCGGGATGTCCTGGCCTCTGGGTTATCCCAGCGTCGCTGCTGAGCTGTGCTGGTGGCGGCTGTTCTTCTGCACCGCCGGCGTGATGTACGGCCAGGTTTTAGGCTAAATACGGGCACAGCAGGATGTGCTGACTGCCGCAGGATGAGTCCTGTGCTGCTCTCCACCACATTGCATCAATCTGGGCTGTTGCTGAGCATCGCCACCGTTTCAGATTTAGCATCCCTTGGTATTACCTCATTAGGCAGCAGCACTGGTGAGAACTTTTGCAGAAACAAACCTCATCTAAAATCCTTCTTCCTTTGTGCAAACCACTTCTCTTCCACCTCAGATGCATTGCACAACACCTCTGTGGCACGGCTGTAGAAAAACAGTTGGGAAAGTGGTACTGGGTGAGCGTCAGGAGTGTGTTTGTAGCTGCTTCTAATCACACTGAACATCAAAAGGTGTGGGAAATGAGCTGTGTGGGAGGATTGGAGAACTCCTCTGTGCCCACAGCAAGGAGCGTGTGGACCACGATGTGTCTGCAGACGGCTGCTGGAGAGTGGGGGCAGATATCGGGGATAAAGGGAAATTATTTCAAAAGCACCAGCTCTGTTATGGGAATGGCCAATATGGACATCAAAAAATGACGGTGGCAAGCAAGTATTTAGGAGATCATTTGATGAGTGGTCTAAATCCTGCTTGTGGCTCTGGTGAGGAGACAGCCTGCCTTGCTGTTGCAGTGGTTTTAAGATGTTGAAGCAATAGGTAAGAAATTCCCAGCCGGCTCTGCCGCACTGGCCTTGCGATTGCTGATGTGAAATGTTCCCCGCTTCCGCTGGCAATCCCTTTTGCTGGTATAAATAAAGAGGTACATATTTGCTGGTGTAAAGAGACGCACAGCAGCTGCAGAGAAGGAGCCTCTGCTTTCAGGGTTCACGCGGCGCTTTAAACGCTTTCACCAGTTGTTTGGTGGAGTCTAAATCTGCGCTGCTGCTGGGAAGGGGGCTGCACTCAGCTGTGCATCCCCAGCCCCTTTCTTGTGCCAGCAAGAGCAAGGGGCTGACGTGAAAAGGCGCTTTTCGCAGCGAGAAGTCTGCGGTCTGTGCTTTGTGGGAGCTGTGCCGTGTGCTGGCCACCCGACCCTGGCGACCACGGAGGTGAGGAAACAGGAGGGTGCGGCTGGAGGGTGGGAGAATGTCGGTTTCAACCAGTCATGATGACATGGCAGTTTTAGATGAGCTTTTTGGGGAAAAAGAAAAAGATCCTTGCAGCCAGCAGCTGGTGGGCTAGCTGAGCGGGGATGAGCAGGTGCTGGAAGAACTAGGCAGAAGAAACTCCTAGGACAGAAGCAAAGCCAAGCTCCCACCAGTGTGCCTCTGCGAGGGATACGTTACAGCAGCGAGAGCAGCTTTCCGCCAGCGTTACTGCACACACAGCATGGCTCTGTCGAGTGCAGAACACGTGGGGAAAATCGTGGCCCTGCCTCAGATTGTGGTCGTAGAAAAACACTCGCTGGAAACCTCGAGGGAGGTTCTCCTCCCCCTCTGCTCTGCCCTGGTGAGGCCCCATCTGCAGCACTGTGTCCAGTGCTGGGCTCCCCAGTTCAAGAAAGATGAGGAGCTACTGGAGAGAGTCCAGCGCAGGGCTGCGAGGATGAGGAGGGGACTGGAGC